AAATTAAACAAATTATGGCAAATTCTTGATTCAGGGTCTAAATTTTAACCTTTGTTCAGAATTCTTTGTATGATGGTCAATATCTCATGAAATTGTGCCTTCCTCAAGTATATTGTATGGATCATTTTCCAATAACTCCGCTTGCCAGAATAAAGACGCATTTGTCAAATAAAAATTCTTATGAATTTCATTTCCAGCCCCTTCTCTCTCTCTCTCTCTCTCTCTCTGTCCCTTTTCCTGCCTTTTTTTCTATCTCTAATGTGCAATTGATTCATGGCTTTTTCTGAACTCTGATATTTACTTTCCCGATGTGCTATTGGCAAATGTAACTCTGAGTCTTTCATCTTTGGCCTCTGGAAGACCAAAGGTTTGACGTCACTAAAACTCATTGGAGAAAAAAAAATCTATTTATCTCATATACTTCTTCCATGCTATTCATTGCCTTTCCTGTCAGGCAATAAAGCATGGACCATTCCTTTTTTTTCTGTCAGTAATTCAATATCAATTGAATGGCAAGATATAGATTTTTTTAGTACAAACATTGAAAAGGGAGTTGACATTTACAAGGTGTATAGCAAATACCTGATGAGACAAAACATATCCTATTGGTAATTTTTTATTATTTTTTTTACTTTTCAGAAGATAGACTTCTTTCTATTTCAACAACATATTACGGTAAGAACTGCCTTGATAAGCTGACAATGTGACATCAAGCTTCATCATCCACAAAGATTTTTTTTCTTCTAAATATAACATGACATTTCATTTAAAATGATTCTCTTTTTTGCTTGATCTAGATATTACTCTAAATGATAATGATATGGGGCAAATACTTTGACCCACCCTCGGCTTAGTAAACGACGGTAAGTTGAGTAGATCTAACATAGAAATATAATCACAGAAAACACAGATGTCAAGTGTCACAATTGACATAACAAAAATTGCATACATGATAGAGTGAGTAATTATTACCCGTTGCAATGGGTATACTACTCCCCATGTATGAACTAAGTGTAACTAATGTACATGCTTGTCCTGATGTAGAAAATAAACAATAATTCCAGAAAACATTTGCTGTATTGATAAAATGAATGCAGTTGATTGGTATTTAAGACTGTGACACTTTTAAGAGGGGATGAAGATGAAGATTAATCCGACAACAGACAAACAAAGAAAGACTGACCACTTCTGTGCTTGCGGCATACCCTGAAACCAGATTGCCTGGTCCTGGGGAAAACCCTGTGCTGATACCGAAGCATCTGCATTGCCAGATCAAGGATTGGACATCTGCATCAAACTTGAAAAAAGAAAAGTTGGCTTATTCTTGAAATGAGGCGTGATGGCACAGTAGTAGAGCAGTGGTATTGCAAGTGCTAAATCCTGGGTTTGAAACCAAGTCAATGCACTAGCTCCCTTTGATAAGGAAATAATGCTCATACACCAAGTCCCTCGGATAGGACATAAAGTTGTAGGTTCCTGTGGTATCTCACCTACAAGCAAATATTTGCTTTTCTAGCAGTCGTGTAAAATAAATCATCAATTCAATGAAGTTTCTGTTTCAAGCAAAGTATTGTAAAGAGCAGCACTGTACAGGCATAACCACACTGCAAACCTCCAATATCAACCTCTCCACATAGATGTATCTGGACATCTGATCGCACAAACTCATTCCCAACGCATTTAAAGAGATTTGGAAATCCATAAATCCAGCTGAAACCATATAAAACAATAGAGGAATCCAAAAGGGCACAATTTATGTTTTCTTTTTTCCCCATGGACTTTGTTGATCTCATCACCTGAAACCCTACAAATCCTTTGCAAGGGAACATTGAAACCAATTTTACCTTGCACAACAAACTAAGCGTTCTCTTTACAAAAAATACAGGTTTAAAAAATAAAATTTTAAATGAAAATTGTTCCCCCGTATCAGAGAGACAGAGAGAGAGAGAGAGAGAGAGAGATAAAGTTCTTTCTTATGAAGGCTAATGCTCAATTTTTCATGACCTGATTTTTCACCAAGCAATGCCACAAAAAACACCATGTGTTTTGCAATTGAACACTTCTGTGTCCCTATACCAAGTTACATATGGTATTATTCCTGAAGGAAGCTGGACAAAATTCAAGGTGTTTCTTGCTCATAATAAACAGATTATCATTTGAAATATCATGCAAGGAGATGTGGCTTTTTATTTTCAACCCCCAAAGTACGTCAAAATGATTAATTATTCAGCATCACAATTATTCAGAAGGATACAGGGAATCATTAACTGTGTCACTGTCAACAGAGTAGAGATGTCGTGGTATAGTGGTTATGTCACCGGACTGTGGATCACATGTTTCACGGTTCAAGTCCAACTGCGGCACTAATGTCCTTAGGAAAGACACTGATCTACATTTGCAGGGGTGATAGTGAGCACTAAAAAAAAAATAGGTTTCTTGTTTTCCTCGTCAACGACGCCCCCCCCCCCCCCCCCCCCCCTTGAGTAAAAAAAAAAGAAGAGGATTCGCGGGAAAAAACATCTAACAACATTCCCCCCTTCTGGTAAAAAAAAAAAAAAAAAAAATTATTTAAAAAAAAATCTGGATTTCAGGAAGAAAGAAAAAAAATCGGGAAACCGATTTAAATCGGGTTTTTATCAGGCCTGCATTTGCCACTCTCCACCAAGGTGTTAAATGGGTATCCGATAGGATGCGAACATTAATGTGGTTGGATTGGGATGTGTGCACTTGTAAAAGGGGGCCTGGCCAGAATACTCCCCAGAGAGTAGAGCGTGTGCACTGTCATGTGTGGATTGGCAAGGGAGTCCAATACCAGACCAGGGTAATAACAATTTCAATGTAATGTGCTTAGAAACATAGTATTAAGCGCTACCGGTATACAAATGTGACTATTATTAGAAGATAAAAGAATTCATTGATGTCTTTTGCACCGTGATTACAATACCTCGCGGTTCATTGTCATGACTACACAAGTTTGTACTATGGCTCGGACCCCAAACAAGCCAGTCCCAAACTCAAAAGACTAAAGCTGAATAATACACAAACCAGAAAAGATGGTTTGATAGAAAAATAGTCTCAAAATTTGTATCCCATCTTTTTCATCATGACAAATCTAAGCATTTGAGATCCAGAGTGCAGATGGGGGGGGGGGGGGAAGCACAGAATGTCTGTACATTGCACTTTCATTTTCTCCACCTATTCCATAGGTCCCTCACCCCAACCACTCATCAAAGGTAACCGCCAGCTTATTTCATTGCAAGTGCAAACCCTCGTTAAAAATTGGTAAGAAAGCGACCTTGGTTTTCCTTTAAAACAATTAATATTACCTGCAAAATATTATCTACCAGGAACAATTCATGGACCAAAACATTAAACAAACAGATGAATTTACCATGAATATGCATGGAGCGGTTCGATTATAAATCAAGGATAACTCAACAATTTTCATGGTAGTCTTAAAAAGTTAATTATTTGAGCCCTGGAAATTTGTAATCAAGCAATCATAATAATAATAATTGTATAGTATACTATACAATTATTGATGTTTTTTTTTTGGGGGGGAGGGGAGGGGGGCAAGGTTAAAATTATTGCCCAGACATGATCTCAAAACTGTTCCGAAATAAAGCTGAGGGGCATACATGTACATGTAGTAGAGTCCTGATAATACCGGGGGTAATAGAAAAATAGAAATGTATAGAAATCCTTGATAATTATGAGGAAACCTGCCTCTATGAATTTATGTCTACATATTTTCAGGAATATTCCTATAAAAGCACTTAATGTGCATAGTGTTCTTGTCTTAAAGTGTCTACCAAATATTAACATTATATGTCATCATTGTCTTGTGTACAAAAAGCCTTTGTCTTATCATTCATTTTTGCTATTGCCTTATAACTGTAAAAAGAGCAGTTAACAGCAAATGTTATTCTCAAAGTTTTGACCAATGCTTAGCCTGGAATCCTAATACCGGTATGCAAAATAAACAACAAGTTTTCAAAAGACCCGGATTAACAAAAGATCTTTGCCATATTTGGATATGTGGTATCTATTGTTCAGGACAGTCATATAATCAGTGATTTAAGTACAACAAACAGAGACCAGTATCTCATAGATCCTAAGTATGGATTATACTATACAAAGATCACACTATTCAAACTCTCAGAATAAAGAGGTGGGATCAGTGCGTTAATAGGACATGGCCTGTTAGAATATAAAGCTCACAAAATACCCCTATTTAGAGTTCATAATGGGCAGCATCCACCTCTTTAATACAAGCAAAGCTTCTTTTTTTTGTTTGACTCTTATTCAGAATGGCATTGGACAGTCAAATAAGCCAGCACAAAAGAGAACCCCACTGGAGTGGCGGAACTCTTTGTGCGAGAGTAATTGCTTTCTTTTGATCTTTGGTTAAAAGGGCATCGATTCACCATTTGCAACATAACTTCTTTTTCCTCTTCAGAGAGAGAGAGAGAGGGTGCCAGAGTGGGTAGTACTAGTAGCTGATTGAAGCTTTGTTATGGCCGGTTTTATTTAAAGCATAAGGGTGTCAGCATAATGGATACAAAGAGGAGAATACCATGGTATTTAAGCAAATGCATATGTCAAGGCAATGTAAAAGTTTCCTTTTTAGTTTCCTTGTTATTCTTTGTTATTCATTCTACTTCATTTTACAAAACAACAAAATGATCTGGAAGTACAGGATATTGTCAACAAGAAAAGCCAAATCAATAAAAGATGAAAAGAGAATAGATAAGGTAGTAGTACATAGATATAATATAGGGAAGTGTGGAGACTTAGTGGGGTAAATCAATACAATAATTGAATAAAATAATAGGGTACACCTTTAACTTAAATGCATACTTGGAAATATTTCTTGTTAAATTGAATTCAAGATGCATTATGTGAGAGCACTACTTTCAATATATATACCCTTCCCTCAAAAATGATAAATAAATCTACATACTAGTCACATCATCAACATACACATTGCAGAAGCATACCATTCAAAATGCCCATTGGGGTCGTGAGGAGGTTGACCGAAGGGACAGGACGCAGGAGCAGAGATGACGATTGCATGTGCGCTTTCTCGCTCACCAGCATTGGGTCCGCAGTGGTAGTATATGATCAGATAAAATGGAAAGGCAAATCCAAAGTAGTAGCGACAGACCCTCAGTATTCCGATGATGAACTTAGAATCCTAGAAAATGACTGTTCCAGATGAGTTTCACCGATACTGGATGGCAATTGTGAACAAGTCGTCAATGTTTATGTCCTGTTTATGATGAGAGGGCTGCCTTGCAGTGGGCCCTGTGGTAATGAATTCATCTAAACAGCAATGAGAGTACCTTGTTCCTCTTCCAAAGCAACAATATCAAAATCTTCCAATCCAGTGTAGGTACTACAGGCTATGACCCCACCAAACAATGTTCATATATTGAGTCTTCCAAGTTCCAATACAGCAGATAGTGAATTGGCAACTAATGTTTAAGCAATGCAGGTCTTGTAGCTAGTGACGTATCTAGTGGCATCAACTGACAGTCAATATACTCATAGTGATATAGAGTCTTCACGTGATCAGATCAAGCAATAGTTCAGTAGGGAGTGGAGAGGAAACTCTCAAGCTCAGCTCCGTCAAAACGTCAGCCTGGAACCATGACTAACAGCATCCACAATGTCCAATTAACACAGAGACATGCAGGGAGAAAGATTGCAACTCTGGTAATAGCTAGTTCACACAATGGGACTGCCTGCCTTCACGCTTTCTATTTCTTTTAACAATTTTTTTTACTAGCAGGCTCCACTGCTGCCTTGTTACTCGCCAGTGCCAAAGTGTTCTTTTACCCACAGTGCAGACGAACAAACTGCTTTTGTTACGCTAAGCTGCTTGCGCTCGCTCTCCCTCCTCGGCAATCTACTTAGCTAATGACCTCCTGGTACAGAACATGCACTCAACTCCCAAATGCACATATGTCCTATTCATTGGTAGCCGCACAGGCGAGTTATTTTAACCCTCCCTCCTGAAGAAAACTATTACACCCACTACTGCATTGTGTGTACACCCACACGCATACACTGACAAAACCACCAAGCAGACCAACTCTCCTTACTGCACACATTTTTACTCCTAATCAAACAAACCGAATGGTAGAACCCCACAGGGCAATCTAGGGGAAACACATCATGGTCTCATGCAAATAGGGCAGCTCCCATTCATGCTACCAGGGGTGGGCTGTACCTCGCCTTGAGGGAGGGGCGTTAGTATAAGAGAAAATCCACTCATGAGTAATCTATTTTCCGGTCCATTTCTAGTCTACGTACACAGTCATGGTTACGTTTCAAATCTCACTGTGTGATATTGCCGATTGTGGCAGTGGCCTAAAGTAACAAATTTGATGACTGCGCTTGGATGATAATGATATCAAATTCAAAGGCAATTTCTCTAAACTTTTACCAATTACTCATATATCAAATAAAATCAAAATGGTATCAGTGATTCACCCATCAGTTTGTCAACAACAAAAGAGTTTCTTGTTTTCGGACAGTTCTGGTCAATTACATTGTGATTACTCTGATACATTTTTAAAATAACAAACTGCAAAACATATTATTCAAACCTGAATACACACTTGAATAATCCTTGATTGAAAAAATAAATTTTTGATAAATCTGATGGCCTTTGTACTAAGAAAGAGAAAGAAAAACACCTAATTTTACACATGTTCAAAATTTCTACAATTTAATCAAATGTTCTCAAACAATAACAATCCATATCCCTATGTCCTTCACTATTTTCCATTTTATTAAGGATGTGGCGTAGACAAGATAATTACTTTTCTCGCAAGCAACAGGTCTGAACCAGTAGACTAGACAGAGCTCAGGTGGTGTATGGACTTGATACACGTCCTTAGAGAGGGTTTAATCCCGTCACAAGCTGAGTGCAAAGGTGCTAATTAAACTAACCTGTTCACGGCTAATCCTATGCTAATAGCATCTTTTTATAGATGTTGACAGTTATCCTGGACACAATCAATCACACCCCATTACCCCCCCCCCCCCCCCCCCCATTACACTAATCAACAAAACACAAGTTGATCTATATACTTCTACCTTCTTATGACTATGTGTTGAAAACCATTCACACTTCTGATTTAGGTTTGATAATTGTACTCTGGATAATGTACAAGGTCACATATTGCAATAATAATTATTTAAACATTCTTATCAATGTGAAAAGTAAATACTTTAAAGCTGAGAATTCCATTTTTTTAATAGACCAGGTTCGAGATACTCCTTTACATGATATTTCTACCGTGACCTTCACTGCATTTTCACTTCTTCATAAATCACGACTATAACATGTATGTAGATCTTAATTAATGCAGAATAATATGCTATGCATATGGAATATTATATATACCATAGAACATTTCGTACCATCCAGTGTTATTAAAAATTCATGCTGTTGCTGTGCTTATTACGCAAAGTTGTGTTCCATTTGAATCAAAAGAGAGAGAGAGAAAGAGAGAGAGAGAGAGATCAGTGTGAGAGCAAGCACGTACCAGCCATCATATTTGCACATCAAACGAAAGGCAGACGACAATACAAAAAAACACCTACCTGCATATTTTTATATCAGAAGGTAAAATGATATGACCACCAACTTCAATGACACAAATCTCAATATGTACAGAATAAAAACTTTTAAAAAAAACTGCACTATAACCCAGCTGCTTTACCTACCAGCAAGTATACAAGTTACCTATAGCTAGACTTTACTGATATGAATTATTACACGAATAAAATTGGATTTGCAAGGTTATAGCCTGCATGCACAGTCTTGTGTTTCTCTGTATAACACATTTGGTGAGAGCCATAAAGTTGTTACCTCTTACACTTTTACAGAGTCAATGCCCTTCTTGCACTCGGACGATACAGCTAACAACTAAATTATTCATACCCCTTGTGTATTTGATGTTTTCTGTGTTTTTCATAACTCAAGAATGAAAGGTGGACTGGTTAAATTAGGACCTTTGTTGATTACTTGTAGATGTGAGCTTTAATGTCACATTATCATGAAACATTAATCAGAACAAATTAATTTTTCCCTAATTTAATAAATTACAAAACTTGGTAAGGGTAAGAATAATCTAGATGTTAACTGTATGTCTTTTGTAGAAGCAGAAATATGCTAAAAGAAATGATATCCCAATAAAAATGAATAATAATTATAATATTCAGTTAAAGTAAATCAAGCTCACTACTTTCTCTTAGAACTATATGTTAGAAAAGCCATACAATATTCATTACTTCAGATATATTTGGGATGTGGAAATCCTTACGGTAGTTCCTTCTATTTTAACATCAATTAATGCAAAAAGGTTTCCTGTTGTTAATCGTATTGAAAATTGATCTTCTACTATCATTTTGAATACCACTTAAAGAAAAAATTCTAATGACTGGCCAAGAAGACATCTTCATTAAATCCCTATTTAGCATAGCCATGAAGAAAGAGATCTTTGTTCTTTGTTGTTAACAAGCTCTGCATCCCTTTAATACTGCGTCAGTCTCATCCATGACATATATACTCCATCTCCTTCGCCCCTGGAAGATTAATGCAACCAACATGTAATAGATGTGTGTCTTTTCGCGCCAACTTGCTATACTCATTATCGAATCGTGCCACATGTGTGCATAATCGTTTTCCCAAAACCAAGCACCCTCTCCCCCATATGTGTAGGATATAATAATAATGAATTGTATGAACCCAGTACATCTGGTATAGACATCCCACAATCAACCCGGCTGGCGGCCTGCCTGCGTGGATGGATGGAGGAGGGCTGGTGTGGAAGATACCAAGATGGGTAATGGTTTATAGAAGGATGGAGGAGGGCTGGTGTGGAAGATACCAAGATGGGTAATGGTTTATAGAAGGATGGAAAGACTGTCTGGATAATAACGGAGGAACGAATGATGGTGCAACTGAAGGGCAATAAAGAGATGTGTGGAGGAGGAGCAAGAAAAATGCAGCTTAATAGATCATACAAAATGATAGGGAAAAAATATTGAATATTCAGAAATATGACTTAAAGACACAATGCACTCTTTGATCAGACAGCGATTGAGTGAAAGTGAGAGAAACAATAACAAGGAGAAAGAGAGATGAAATGGAAGCAGATACAAAGAAAAAAATAGAAAGGAAAGTTACTTTACTCTGTACCCTAAATCTTACGTTGCAATATTATCCAATGCATCTGAATATCTGAAGAATTTTTCAGAGTATTTTAGAATCTCCTAAACCTCAGGAGTCTCATAATTTCATAATTATGTTACAAACCCTTGTGGTTGGATACCCTTATTTTTTTATCTCCATCTGCCGAGGGTTGAACACTTCAGTCAATACTTGTTTACAGAACTGTTGTATGCTTCATACATACTGCTCACAGCTTTCTGAAGTTAACATATGGCCAGAATTGAATATGTGCTTACAGCAATGTGTTGATAATCGATACACAATCACAGGTGCATTCACTAGGCTTACGTAGCCAAATTGGGTCCTTGGAAACAAAAGATTGAGAAATGAATATCGTTCAATTGATAATCTCGCAAGTGATCTGCCAATAACATCACAAAAAGTTCTATTTTCATGAGGTAAAAGCCAAAGTTGTCTCACTTACTACTTGTAACATATAGCCTGAGCTTTGGCAAACAAAGAGTATATACCGGTACATGCAAGTCCGACATGACAAACGTTAAAATATTTTTTGGGCTGTTTGTGTGACCTGTCATATGCATCAGTTTGAATACAGACTCAGAGACATACTACTCCAACACAGCCACCATTGTACGATCGTTTCCCCTATCTCTGGTAGCAGATGTAGAAATGAACTTGGTAATGAGTTTCCCTCACAGTTAAGATCACGGAATACACCATGTCAGGAGGGAGGAGGGGGAGATGGGGTGAGATACCAGACATGATACGGAGGAGGGGGTCACTAAACAGAGCACATAGTCAAGTTTCTGGTACGTAATGTCATCATCATCATCATCATCATCATCATCATCATCATCATCATCATCATCATCATCATCATCATCATATCATCATATCATCATCATCATCATCATTGTCGTTGTGTCATACTATCAAAATCATCATCATAGTAACAAGGGTATCAAGTACTAACCCTTAAAATTACAGTTTAATTCTGATACAGACCTATTGCATATATACTCCAGCCTGATATAAAGCGGGCATTGTGTATAGTATGTGGGCTAAGAATATCTAGCAGATAGATGTACAACTTTACTGATGCATTCTAATTCATAGACATGTATGATCCTAATATCAGACTATTCCACTTACATTTTACAAGTTGTATACAGATTTTTTTTAAAACCCTAAATATAGGGCATGAAGTATCTAATGCTATATTGGGCAAGGTATCATGCAGTAAAGATATGCAACAGATGCAATACATCTAAATATGTTGATGAATAGGTCTGTTAGCCTTGAAAAAAACGTACAACCTTGACACAGCCATATAGTGATGTATCAATGAAAATAAACTAAGGGATGAAAATACAGCATCTACGATGCCCAAACCACAATCAATAGTACAGATGATTTCAAGTTTTTGAATGAAAATATGTTGTCCAGCTCCACGTCTGCACATAACTACCATGCACTTCCAACATATGCATTATTCTATCATCGTATACAGTGGTTGCCGGCTCCCATAATGTAAACAAAATATGAAACAAGCCCCTACCTTCCAAACACCAACACACAGGTGCCTGCCTGCCTGCCTGCACACGGAGAGAGTAGTGAGATTTAACGAGTGTGATAAAGCAGGTAGCTAGGGAAGATGGCTGCTATCAAACAATCCTTACTCTGATGATGAGCTTTCTAATCTTCTAACTGTCCTCCCTCTTTCCTCTATGCACACACTAGCTACCAGCTGATTCCAGGCAAGATGATATCCTGCTAACGTGATCAATATCTACCCGCATGATGGTCATAACACCTTGGCAATGCTAACTCGCATGGTAGGTAGGCCGGCAGCGAGCGGCTGAGAGTAGTCTTGGATGTATACACTCTTCAATCCAATATTCATATGTTT